TATAGCAAACTATCTTGAATACAACAGGTACTCAGGTGATAAATCCCCTCACTTTTCAGCTTATACATGAGAAGACGCTTGCCTTTTAAAAGCATTTCGAGTCAGTCAACAACACACTTTTTCTTTGGGTGATTTCATCATAGCACAGAATCCAACAGTAAGTTCTTTTCAGCTGTTTGTTTTTCTGGGATGCATCTTATCTACTGTGGATTAATGAAGAGCCAACTCTTAGGTCTCAAGGATGCTAACATTGAGACTTCCTTCTAAAGGCTCAAACACTTGAGGGTTCCCCAACACCAGGCTGTGGATAAAAAAGGTTTTAATGTATTGTTTAAATGAACTGAAGCTGTGAAGCAATACAGAATGAGGACCACAATATGTCAAATCCAACCCTGACTATGATACTCACATGAGCTTCGTGCTTACTCGCTCAGTGGTGTCTGACTCTTTGCAACCCCATGGACTGTAGCCCGCCAGGCTCCTCTGTCCATGGGATTCTCCAGGCAAGAATACTGGAGTGGGTAGCCATTTTCCTTTCCAGGGGATCTTTCAGACTCAGGGATCAAATCCAGGTCTCCTTCATTGCACGCAAATTCTTTACTGTCTTGAGCCATCAGGGGAGCCCTCACTCTGACTCGAGTTAGATATCAATGATTTACTTTGGGTAAGAGATGTCTTTCTGTGTCTTTGTTCCCTTATCTGCCAAAATGAACAATATAAAACAGGATCCCTTAACACAATATAACAGAGCTACTTTTTAACTGCCACCACATTAAGGGATGGGTTAGATAAGAACAGACTCTTCAAAGCTGTCTTTCCCTGAAAGAGATCCTGGAGGTCAGCCATAGCTGGCAGCAAAGATATATATCAGACTTTTCATGGTAAACTGATAAACCTACCTAGATTCTGCAGATGTCCTTAGGTTCCAAAATGCTTTATTTTAAATACTATTTTGGCCCTTTAAGAACTCATTCACATAAACCCTAAAAACACGTCTAAAAATTAATTTATTTCTGATGAGAATATTAATGACTTAATTTAAAATGAGAGGACTCATCCAGAGAAGAATCACCAATACAAGTTTAGAATGGCAAATACTATCAAGGTGCTACTTTCATTATCTTTCCTGGTACAAGGTTTATTAGTAAACTTTACTATTCAGTTTTATGTTTCAATATGCCTCAACTTAAAAAAGCTACTTTTAGAAGCATGTGAGGTGATAATGTTAACTAAAATTGCTGTGGTAATCACTTATGTATATGTATATAGCAATCATTATGTTGTATACCTTAAATACAATTTTATATGTCAATTAGATCTCAAACTGAAAAAAAAAATATCAATCCTAGCACAATCATAGGAAACATACTACCTTAAAATATGTCTGTGTGTGCTTAAGTGCTTACTTGCTCAGTTGTGTCTGACTCTCTGTGACCCCATGGACTGTAGCCCACCAGACTCCTCTGCTCATGGAATTTCCAGGCAAGAATACTGGACTGGGTGCCATTTCCTATTCCAAGGGATCTTCCCGACCCAGAAACTGAACCTGAGTCTCTTGGGTCTCCTACACTGGCAGGCAGATTCTTTACCATGTGGGAAGCCCTCACCTTAAAATATGGAGACTTCTATTAAATATTTCTGGTCTTAAGTGTGAAATTTACTACATTCTGAATGGCATCACAACTTCCCACATGGAATGACACAAAATATATTAGATTTCTTGATAAGAAAATCCAATGATTTTAGTAGCTCACCTGCACATTAACATAGAGAATGTAGTCAGCTGATCAACAACTTTTAATTTAGAAGTAGCTGTATGTAGAAAGAAGTAACTTTTGAGTGCCTATTATAGCACTCAATCACTTCAGCACCAATTACTGTGCTAGAGATTTATGTGCATTATGTCATTTAGTCCTCTGAGGTAGGTACAGTCATCTCTCAGTATCCATGGGAGATCTGGTTCCAGGACACACACACCTCCATATTAAAATCTGCAGATGCTCAAGTTCCTTATATAAAATGGTTTAGTATTTGCATATAACCTACGCACATCCTCTCTTTCACTTTAAACCATCTCTAGGTTACTTATAATACCTAACACACAATGCATATGTTATATATATAGAGCTGCTGGTGTGCAGCAAATTCAAGTTTTGCTTTTTGGGACTTTCTGGAATTTTTTTCCAATTACTTTAGATCTGTGGTTGGTTGAGTACTCATATGCAGAACCAGCATCCTCAAATACAAAGAACCAATTGTACTATTATTATTAGCACACCTATTTTACAGAAGGGAAGTGGACCTTAGATTTTGCACCTTACTCAGTTATTCTTTGAACTCAGAGCTCAAGAAAGATCCTTAAACTCATTCTGGTGCAAAGCAGTTTTCTCTAGGTACAATACACCTTAATTAACTTAAAATCTTCAGAAAATTAAAGCCACATTATAGCACAAACTTCACCAACAGTGACTGAATTTCCCCTTCAGCTTTCTCTTTAATATGCCAAAATAATTCTAGAACCTGAGCTTTCCAAATCCTTTAATCATTTATGGTGCTCTCTGCTCTGCCTACCATTAGAATGATTTTAAAAAACATTAATACTGTATCAGTTATTTTCAAAAGCACAGAGATAATCAAGAGATCCTAATAGTCTTAAACACTACCCTCAAACCAAAAGATAAATGGAGATTGGGAAACTTGCATTCTAAAGTGCCACCATCCAGATAAAATTACTCTGTGAATTAGAGTAATTTCAATCAGATCCTATAAAATGGAACCTTTTTCTCAAGACTAAAATTAAAGTATAACCATAGGATAGTTTAAGGGCCCAAACTTTGGAACATAAAATGGTCTGCCACGTGTCAAATTCAACAGCAGAAGGCAAGCAGCAGGGGCTAGGGAGAGAAGGAACAGTTTAGAAAAGTAGTAATAAATGACAAAATGACTCACCTATTCATCTCACTGGCAGTTGTACCTTAATTACTCTCAAAAATCACAGGCTGCTAAAATAAGTCCTAATATCTTACTATATGGTGTCCTGCATTTTAAGTTAACACATTACATTATTAAGAGAATCCCCAATGGCATTTCATAAGCATTAGAAACTCAATTATATTTTTTTAGAAGGCATAGCACTTATGACTTAACAGTTATTAACACACAACAAACTGGTGTACATAATCTAACACACCAGTGTAGGTGTGTATACTCTGTCATTACTCACTCTTAAAAAGGATTACTTTCTTCAAAATACAAATAACAATACCATAAGCACAATTTAAAGTGTCACATAAGCTATTTGGTAATAAAAATCAGATGAATTTTTTTTTAATTGTTATTATACTTAAAGTCCATTTACTATGTAAGAACTCAGCATGACAAGCACAAAGTTATTAAATGAGGAAATGTAGGCAGGAGATTCCACTTCAGTTGGGTGACAGGAAGTACTAGCTCTGGAAGTTCAGAAACAGGAATACCAAGCTCTGCTGTAGCACAAGAAATAAAGGAAAATATGCTGGTGGATGAGAGTAAAAGAAGTTCTTTTCAGTTAACAACCTGCGATATATTAAAGACAATCCAAAACCATTCCAAAAGTTAAGGGGGAAAAAATGCCTCATTTTTTTTCACTAGGCTTACGTGACAATGTGCTTCCTTAGGTACACTGGAATTCAGATTCTGCAGTTTCGCTGTAACAAGACTGCCTGTGACACGTTTTACACATCCTTAGAGAGACAAGGGTGACTTGTAACATGTAACAGGTTAGTTTCATATATTAAGTTGGATGATTATTACATTTTTTTATAGCAACACATAAGTAAATAATTTTTAAGTGTCTAAGTTTCACAACAGTGAATAAACTGAACGTTACTAAACTGTACAGTTAAAAAATGGTTAAGATGGTATATTCTGTTATATCTTACCACACAAAAAATGAGAAAGTTAATGAGAAATTACTCCACTTAAATGTTAATAGTAACTTGTTACATAAAATTTGATTACTCGAAACCCAAATTCTTAGGCTTAATTTTTAGGAATTTGTTACTGTCATTAGCAGCTAGATTCGTTTCACTGTAACTAATTTTTAAAGATACTTCCATACATGAGGAAATTCTTTAATTCTGAAGGAAAGTGAAAGTGAAGCACTATTCTCAATTAGCATCTTTCAAATCATCTGAATTACTTACTGCCAACAAATACCGGTTATGAAATTATAAATGTGCTTCTACTTCAGCTGATTCTTTCCTTCAGTGCAGTGCAAATCTCGAAATCAGGAGAGCAAGATCCCTAAATGAACAGGCTTTTCTTAAAGCAGTGGTAGTCTTGATTGTGAGGCAGGCAACACTTCCCACTCATCAGCCTTTAGCACGATGGTGGCCCAAAATACTAAGGTCAGTCGTTTTCCATCACCGTTTTCTCACCTGGCTCAGCGCTACCAAATCTGACAGGCTTTTGTAAACTTTCTTGAGGTTCTGTTCAGAAAAGCGTACAATCTTAGGTGAGTTTGGTAGCATGGAAGGGCCTGAAAGGAATCAGCTTGGCCAACTCGGGGGTGGGGGGTGGAGGGGAATAGTCTCCAGGAAAAGAAAACCGGATTGGCTTCAACTTTGCGCAAACCCTCTTTCTCAGTCAGATAGCTCCGTTCCCGATGAAGGGCTGTGTTCTCGAAAGATCTACCCCTTTCCAACTCAAATGTCATTCCCAGATCAGCTGCTTGAGGGGCCAGCGGCGCTCAACCCACGCCCTCTTCTCCGAGTACCTTCTTCAAGTGCGAGCGCTGGCCTCAGCTGACCCTACAAGCCCCCATCCAAGCCCTGCTCGGAAGCCCTACACGAAGACGGGCCCTGGCCCGGACCCCGCCCGTGGACAAGTCTGCCCCACCGTGTCAGCAGGGGGCCCCGCCTGGGCGGCCGTGGCCGTCTGAGAGTCTGCGCTCCAGGGTCCGCGGCGGATAGCCGGGACCACAGAAGGAGTCTCTCCGTAGGGAGAAAAGACGGCCTCACCTTGACCCTGATCTCGTAGGTGGTGAAGCGGCCCCGGCCGACCCCCACTGTCTGCGGGTTGCTCACATCGATCTCGAGGAAGTTGCTGGGAGGCCCATAGGCGTCATTCAGGTTCTGCGGCTTGGTGATCAGCCGCCGGGTGTCCGCCACGGTCTCCGCCATTTCGCTGCTGCAGCCGCCGCCGCCGCCGCCGCCGCCGCCGCCGCCGCGGACTCCCTCCGCCCCCTCCGCGTTCTACCGACACCTCCGCCGCCGCTACTGCTGCTCGCCGCAGGGACACCGGGCTCGCGCGCAGCGGTCGCAAGGCGAACGAGCACGTAGAGCGGGCGTTCACCCCCACGCGCGTAGCTCCTCCCCGCGCCCCTCCGGCTTCCGCCTCCTGTGCCCTGGAGGAAACAGCTGACCTGTCGGAACTTCGCGCCCCGGACCCGGGAGACCCAGCGGAAGCCGCGGAAGGGGACTGGGTCCAGGCAGAGGAAGGGAAGCGCACTCATGGAACTTGTAGGTGCGGACAGGTTCCGGCCGGACTACAGAGCCCACAATGCACCGGGCGAGCGCGCCCCCGCCGGGCCGAGGCCGAGGTGCTGCGGGTTCAGGTTCCGTGTCGGCCTCGTCCTGGAGCAGTGGAAAGAGCACTAGATGAGATCTTCGCGGCCTTGGGAGACGAGGGAACAAAAGTTAAATGGCGAGCTAGGGGAGGTTTGCCCACAGTCAGAGCAAAATTGCCTACGCTAATTCAATGCCAACCTATCCACCGTCTTGCTGTGAACCACTGAAAATGCCTTTCCAGATAACTTTGAATTAATACCTCAAGTGATGATTTTTGACATCAATTTGAGAGTTTTACCGTACATGCATCTGGCTTGGTAAACTGAATGTGGTAGAGTGGTCTAAAAACTACTTCACAAGATCATACCGTAAGGTCAAGCCGTTTGGGGAGACTGATCGGTTCTCTAAAACAAGATAACATAATATATGGGCTGAAACTTGCCTTGAATTTCTGATGGTTGAGTGATCTGCAGCTTTTCCCCTTCTGTTCCCATAAAGTTTCAGTAAAAAAAAAAAAAAGTGGTAAACATATTGCTGCAGCATTTGAAATAAAATTCAGATAACCTTTATCAGAAAAGAAAAACGACAAACGACAAAGCAATTTAGTAGATCATAGTTAATCTCCGCAAACTTTGAGCATTAAAGTAGAAGGACAGATGTCTATCCCTGCCTGGGGAGTTATCTGTCTTGTTACAGTCTCATAACCCTTTCTGAGTTTCTTTATATGTTGAGTTTCAGAAAACCCATTCACTTGAAATAATCTGATTTGTCCCTTAAACTGAAAAATTATCTGGATCTTTAGCAACGCTCAGAAAAGTTGGTATAAAATTACTTAAGCATGACGTAGATCCTTTTCAGGAAAACTCAACATTCATTCATTAAACAAGTATTTATTGAAGACCTGCTAGGTGTTTTCATCTCTAGATATTAGAGGTGAAAGGGTGAGGAAGACATTAAAATTCCCTGATCTCATCAGGTTAATTGTTTTGTATTAATATATGGTCTATCTTGGGTAGACAAATAATAAACCAATAACTAATATGTCTACCAATATGATTAATGCTATAAAGAAGATAATATTGGGTAATGTGAATGAAAGTGACCCAACAAGCTCATTAACTTGGTCAGAGAAGTTCTCTGAGTATATCTCTCCAAGAGTGAGAGTAATATCAGAGTAAGTATGCCCAGACAGGACTCCCGGAGTAAGGGCATACTTACTCTGTTGGAAGAGACCAAAGGGAAAAGTGATAGGTATGATTACAGCAGTGAGCTCAAGAATGTATTTAATGATTCTTTGAATTGAACTATGTGAGAACTGAGAGACCAAGAACCACTGTATTGTCTTGTCATCCATGACACTTGAACAAAGCAATCATGGGATATTCACTTAGAAAGCTTCTGTCTCATTGGAGGCCATGGCAGAGTAGCTTTGGGCAGCAGCAACAATTGCCAGCAGTTAAGTAGCATCTACAGAAAATGGCAGCACAATCACACAGCTAAAGAGCTTCCCAGGATAAACATCTGGAAAAAAATCATCTTTATTTTTCAAGGAGATACGATTGTATTCCTAGAAAAATCTATAAAGAGTAAGCTAGTAGAATTAGCAAGAGAATTTAGTGACTGAATGAAGGTATCAAACTTAATTTATATTTTTCCTCTGACTAAGCAATGTCTAGTTAGACTGGAGATGGACAAAATATCATATTCATAACAGAGACCAAAGTAAAAAAGAAAACAAAAATGGAAGGCACAGGAGCTATAGGAAACAAAACTATGCAATTTTAATAAAAGATATAAGCCAAAACCTAATAAAAAAGACTCCATGTTCCTGGATAGGAGGACTTAATATAAAAAAAGTCACTTAATCTACTATTAATAATGCAAATAGAATCCCACTGCGGTTGGTTTTACCCTCCTCTTTGCCTTGGGTGCATAGAGTAGTAGTGGACAAGAATTTTTTTTAAGTTCATATGTTGGAGATTAACCAAGAAGACCATGAACATGAAAAGAAAAGTATGATTTGCTTTACCAAATGTTAAAACTTACTATGAAGCTAACTGTGAGCAAGAGCATAGGGAATTCCCTGGCGGTCCAGTGGTTAGACTCCTTGCTTTCATTGCAAGGCTCCAGTTGGATCCCTAGTCTGGGAACTAAGACCTCTGTGCTTCTCAAAACAGACCAAAAAAAAAAAAAAAATAAAAGCCACAAGAGTATGGTTTTGGCTGTGTATAAGATAGAGTGTAGTACAGAGGGAGCATTTCAAATCACTGGGGAAATATTGCTGGCACAGTTGAATGTCTAGGGAATAGGAAGACCACTTAGCTAATCTCCTGCATTATGACCCGGGGACTAACCCGCCAGGTTCCTGTCTGTGGGATTTTCCAAGCAAGAATATTGTAGTGGGTTGCCATTCCTTTCTTCAGAGGATCTTTCGGACTCAGGAATTAAACCCATGTCTCTTGCATCATCCGCATTTTCAGGCAGATTCTTTACCACTGAGCCTCCTGGGAAGCCCACCCCTGCATTATACCATATATGAAAAAATTCCAGATAGAACTTATTTATTTATTTATTGTTGATTGTGGGTTTTTGTTTTGTTTGTTTGTTTGTTTGGTTTTGGCCACACCACATGGCTTGTGGGACCTTAGTTCCCCAACCAGGGATTGAACCCAGGCCCTTAGCAATGAAAGCATGGAGTCCTAAACATTAGACCAGCGGGGAATTCTAAGATACAATTCAAATATTAAAATGTGTGTGTGTGTTTAGAGAAAATTTAGGAGAAAAGTTGTACAACCTTGAGTAAAAAAGTACTTCCTAAGCAATATGGGAAACAAGCTAGAAAGAAAAAGTAGTCATTTAAGTGCATAAATTTTTAGTAAAGTTACTTATTAAAAAGCATTATAATAAAAGAATTGAAGGAAGTTTATTTGTAACAAGTAAGATAGTAAAAGGCTAATATTCCTAATGTGAAAAGAATGCCCCATAAATTGATAGGAAAAAGACAATCCCATAGAAAAATGGGCAAAGAATGTGGATAGGTCCTATTTTATACTTTGTCGGATAATGAATTTATCAAATCCTCATAATAACCCTAAAAGTGGGTACTATTATTGTCCACATTTTAAAAATCGGAAAACTGAGGCACAAAGGCAAAATAACTTGAGTACAGAATGGCAAAACTAGCTCCAGTATTTACATATGTAACCACTATTTTTTGTGCTCTCTTAGGAAAAGAAATTCAAATGGACCATAAATGAGAAAAATATGCTCAATCTCCTTAATCAAATAAATGTGCATGAGTGCTAAGTTGCTTCAGTAATGGCTGACTCCCAAGTTATTAGAAGAGGAGGGACTTTCCTGGTGGTCCAGTGGCTGAGACTTTGCACTCTTAGTGCAGGGGCCCTGGGTTTGATCCCTGGTCAGGGATGCTGCAACTAAGACCCAGCAGAGCCAAATAAATAAAAAATTTTTAAAGAATTAGAAGAGGAATATTGATGATATTTTGGAAAGCCGATCAAAGAATAATATGTGCAGTATGATCCCATTTGGGTAAACAAAAGTCTGTCAGTCTATGTATGAAATCACTGTTAAGAAAGGGTTGTAGTTGAAGTGAGAGGTACGGATGAAAAGACAAACATAATCTAAGCATGGGATAGATTACAGAAAACTATAACCAATTTTATGTTTTCCTAATGGTCCATTTCTAGACAAATTATGTCAATTTGCCTGTATTACTGTTGGTACCTGGAGAGTTGTGTTCCTTGAGTAGTGTATTATCTTATCATAGCTAGGTAGTTCTGGTCACTAAGATCATCCATTCCTGTTTATTCAGAGATCACTGAACAGTCAGCTGATCATAGTTTCATTTTTGTGAGGACTTTCTTTTTTTTAATTTGTTGAATTGAAATATAATTGATTTATAATGTGTTAGTTTCAGTTGTTCAGCAAAGTAATTGCATTATATATTATGTATATGTATATATGTGTGTTTACATATATTCTTTTTCAGAGTCTCTTCCATTTAAATTATTACAAGATATTAAATATAGTTCCCTGTGCTACATGGTAAATCCTTGTTGTTTATTTATTTTATATATAATAGTGTGTTTCTGTTAATTTATCCCTCTCCCCCACCCTTTCCCTTTTGTTTTTCTGTGTCTGTGAGTGTTTCTGTTTTGTAAGTTCATTTGTATCATTTTTTTTGATTCCACATATAAGTGATATCATGTGGTATTTGTCTTTCTCTGACTTACATATATGATACACTCTAGGTCCATCCATACTGCTGCAAATGACAAAATTTAATGCTTTTATGGTTGAGTAATATTCCATTTTATATACAAACCACATCTTCTTTATCCATTCATCTCTTGTTGGACACTTAGATTGCTTCCACATCTTGACTGTTGTAAACAATGCTACTATGAACATCGGAGTGCATGTATCTTTTAAAGTTAGAGTGTTCAGCTTTTCCTGATAAATACCCAGGAGTGGGATTATTAGATCATATGGTAACTCTGTTTTCAATTTTTAAAGGAACTTTCATACTTTTTTCTATAGTGGCTGCCCCAATTTATATTCCCACTAATAGTATAAAAAATTTCCCTTTTCTC